TATGACTCCGTATAAAGCTTTATATAGTAGGAAGTGTCATACACCCCTGTCTTGGATAGTGGTGGGAGAGAGACATCTGATTGGGCTAACCTCAGTTGATAATACTGCTGAAAAGACCCATTTGATTAGAGATAGATTGAAGGATATACAAGACTGGTAGTGGCAATATTTTGATGCTAAGCATCGAGCTGCAAAATTTTAAAGTTTAAGATTTTGTATATGAAAAGATCAAACCAATGAATGACATTAATATATTTAACAAAGAATAAAAATTGAGTCCATGATATGTTGGATCATTTGAGGTTGTTGAAAGGATTGAAAATCTGCCTATATATTACAATTGATAAATTACGTGTTTGAAATTTATAATGTATTCCATGTGTCACTTTTGAAAAAATGAATATATAATTCTGAAAAAAAAAGATATATGCTAAAGACATCAAAATACATCCCAATATGAGTTATAAGGAAGAACTAGAGAGAGTTCTAGCCTACGATGTCAGACAATTGAGAAGTAAATAGATTTATATGGTGAAAGTTCAGTGAAAGAGTATAACGAAAAGAGAAGCTACTTGAGAATAAATGTATGAGATGAGTTAGTTATACCCTAATCTATTTATTTGATCTAAGACCTGAGTTTTGAAATGTTGAGGATAATATTTTCCCGAGGAGAGGATAATTGCAATACATCCAGGTTTTACATTTAGTCAAATGATTCATTGATAAAAGTTAAATTTTTTAAATTTTGAGTTTTGAACATATTTGCATGTCATTGGGAGTATTTTGGTGCATGAAAATGACTGTGTATGTTTTAGAATGAGTCCCAAGGGTTTAGAGTAAATTTCATTAAAATATGAGAAATGTTACTATTAGAGCGCCCCAATGTTAGATGTTCGAGCGCCTCAGCATTGTTACAGTACGGTACACAAAATAGTGGCATTGTAGTGCTCTCAGCTCTAAAAATTGAGATTTTAAACCACCGACATAACGCTAGGAGGCAGCATCACAGCCCTATGCCACTATCAACACTTTATATATATTAAACCACTATTCCATTCCATTTCATCGGATCGCAGCAACCGTACTTGGAGAGGAAAGAAGGGGTTTGAGCTACTTAGGGACATTTTTTAGTCATCAGCCCAATTGGGAATATTATCCGGATTGAGGTAGGTCACATTATGCTTATCTTAATTTTTAAAAATATAATTTTTTTTATGTTTTTGATTAAATTATATTTTTGTTATGAAAAAATGAGAATAAATTTGCAGTGAAAAAACTTTTATCGTGTTACTTTTTATTTATTATAGAGACTGAGATTATAAAAATTCTGAATATTTTTTGGAAACTTTTTATAAAATACATATTTTGGAAATTATGTAATATTAATTGAATATAAAATAATATGGGCACTAAAAAATAGTTTTGTAGTCAATTAATATCTTAAAACAGCATTTTATATAATTCTTAGTAATTTTGTTATATTTTGAATTGTAAATTTTACTCAGTAGGAATTTCTGGTGTTTATCGTTATAAAAATTTGTGCAATTCTGAAACATTCTCAATTATATTTTAATTGGTATAATGTGATGAAATATGGGCATATATAATTGAATTATGACTACCGGAGATATAAAAAGCAAGAATCGTTTGAAATTCTATCTGTGTTCGGGAATCTAGTGCTTATAAGACATATTCTGATGGCTTAAAATCATGTTCTGGTGGCTATAAGCCATGCTCTGGTGCATATAAGCATGTTATGGTGCTTCAAGTATAAAGAGAGTCATAAGAGATCAAAATCCTTTGAGATTCAGTTTGGGATCAAAAAATATGATATGAATATCAATGTGCTTATCTTCTTAGTATTATTATTTAAATAATTGAATAATTGCTATGCTCGTATTACTTTTTTGTGATATCTTATACAACATTTAACTCCTTTTAATATTTTAAAAAATGTTTAATAAAAGAATTTAGATATTTAGATTGATTTGTGTGGTCTAATGAGTTATTTGAGCTGTTTGAGGTCACCGTGATTTTTCTTCTAACTTTCATGATCTAGAAAAGGGAAAAAGCTTATTAATTAGCAGTTTAGGATATGATTAGAGTTGATATGTATTTCTTTTATTGATTTTTGTATAGTCATGATTAGTTTATTATTCAATTCTATAGTTTTTTTATAGCCATATACTATAGTGTATATATATTTTGATGAAATGAAAGAAATGTTATGAATGAGTTTATTTTCAGTATTTGAATTTTTAATCAAGACTTGGTTCAAATTCAAATCGCAATTCATGTTCTCAGATGATTGAATGTTTAATTTCTATTTTAAAGTGGGACATGGATATAGAATTGATCTCATCTTTAATATGATTTTAGGATAAAATTCAACCTTTGGTTGAATACAGGACCATGTTTATGATCAGCTTCTAATTATGGGTGTCAAAATGAGTCATCGAGTCGGATTCAATTCTGAGCCAAAATTGACCCGACCAAAACCTGATCAACTTGAATTCAACCTGTTTAATAAATAGGTAAAAAATGTGTACCTAAACCTGACTTGATACCTTTAAGTTCAAGTTTTAGGGCAACCCATGTAGGTTTAGTTTCACTTGCAACACTTTTCCAGATTATTAAGTTTATCCCACGTATTTTAATTAAGTAATCTCAAGTCTTTATGAGTAAAAAATATAATATCTTATTTATTTATATTGTATATTTTGCTATTTTTTTAATTGACACAATTAATATGTCCTAATTTTATTTGAAATGGTGATACGCTCATAAATTATAATAGTAATTTATTCCAAGATATTTTGAGGTTTGTGACTTAATAATGCAAATCTAAGATGAGGTGCACAAAGAAATACATAATGAATCAAAATTATGAAATCCACCACATTTTAGTGAAACTTTAATGCCTTTTTATGCTAAATCAAGAAGTACATTAAACTCTTGCCAAAAACTAATATAAAAATAAAAAATCTAAGATTGAATAAGGCTTCATTTGTGACAATTTTTTTTACTACTTTTTAGAAAAGTTTTCTAGTACAAAAATTTTTAGTTTAAAAATTTTTATACTAAAAAGTTATTTTAAAAAGCAGTAAGATAGTTGTTTCAAACTAAGGCTTCGTTTGGGATGGCTTTCTCGCTGCTTCTTAGAGCAGCTTTCTAGTTTAAAAAATTAAAATTTTGTATTAGAAAGCAACTTTAAGAAGCATCAAGAAATTTAAATTTTTTGTACTAAAAAGCCACTTTAAAAAGCAGGAAGACAGTCAATCCCAAACGAAGCCTAAGCCTAAAGTTTCATTTGGTATAACTTTTTGCCACTTTTTTTCACTGCTTTCAAGATATTTTTTACTAAAAAATTGATTTAAAAAACTATAAAAAAATTATCCCAAACAATGCCTAATATTCACATCTCAAAAATTAAAAATCAAATTGTAACAAACTTGATCAAATCTTAATCACATGCAACAAATTAGAAAACAAAAAAGAAGAAATGAAATAGGAGCAAATTCATTAGTGTTAATCTAAGTTTCATATCGGTATAAGAAGAAGAAAACTTTACTAGAAAGTTATTGTGAAGATTTACTCCATTTAATGAGAGTTCTTAGGAAAAAAAAAGCAATTAGGAAATATAACGTCATGGTTCGTAAGAAAACCCAAAATACTTTGACATTTTACTTGATTGAACTACTAAATTCTACTCCAATTAGTCACATTATTTTCTATAAAATTTAAAAAAGTGTATCAAAGCCTTAAAAAAATGATAGGTTATAATCTTGTTTTGTGCATTGATCCTTTTTATTTTTGTGCTACAAACAGCTTTTGTTTAGCTCAAACTAAGACTTCGTTTGATACGGCTTTCTTGCTACTTCTTAAAGCAACTTTCTAATGTAAAAAATTTAATTTTTGTACTAAAAAGCTACTTTAAGAAGCAGCAAGAAAACCGTCCCAAACGAACCCTAAGGCTTCGTTTGATACAGCTTTCTAAACCAACTTTTAAAACAAAAATTACTAGTTCAAAAAACTACTTTAAAAAAACAATAAGACACATTTCTTACTATTTTTTTGGAATAAAATTCTAATATAAAAATCTCTTAAATTAAGAATTTTTGTACTAAAAAATTATTTTAAAAAACTATTCCAAATAAAACCTAAGAGATCATTTCGAATTTTTTCAATATTATTTCATTTTGAAAATCATTGTCATACTTTCATTCAATTATACGTTTTTTTGTTGTTTTTTAAAAGTTTATGTGATAGAAAGATGTTCTTACAATCAAATCTGTTAGTGTTAGTCATAAGAAAAAAAAAATATTATTCTCTTATTAAAATAAAAATATTTTTACCATATAATAATTAAAAAAATAAAATTTCTTATAATAATCGAGCAGACATCTTTACAAAAAACTTCAATCACATCAAACAGACCCTAAATAGTCACGGGACAAGTGAATATTTTAAGAGTAATAGAAAGGCATTCAAAGACCAATTTACAGCTAAACATTGAATTCATGTATGCATAAAGATGACCCAATTCCCACCCAATGACCCATATGCACCCATGTAATTACCTGTAACAAATAATAGAAAATTCTATAAACTTTCAGCAAGTCATAAGATACAAAATAAAATGAAAGAATCCAACAATGGCCAATCAAATCCCTAATATCATACAAATGGATTCTTCATCCTATGACAGTGAGTAGATTCAGCATTCCCTGTGGAGTTCTCCATCTATCCAGCTAGAACAAAAAAACTCAATAGTCTCAGAAACATGTCTTAAGACACATTATATATAGGAAAAATTATTTTGTGCGGATCTGGATGGCGTTCGGAGGCTAACCGGAACGCGCCACGTGACTTTTTTGCATGATACTGGGTGATGTGGTGTGTTCTGGTTGGTCTCCAGACCGTCCGGTGTCCGCACAGGATAATTTCTCCAGTCAGAGGCACATAGCTTCATAGGGCTTAAGTACTAATAAGAAAAAAAGGAATTCACAATATTCTAGCCTGAGTTTCCTCTTAATAGTTTAAAATGTGACAAGGATCATCAATGTCCATGCAGCTGCTTACAGCTCACAATGAAACTGCAACGATAAGCAGAACAAGGATTACTGTGTCCCATGATCAGACTTGCACAACTACCTGACTTCTTATGGCTGTATCCAGATATTATGAATCAGCCAAAAAGTGATATTTCCCTATCAACTCTAACAATGCACTCAATTAATGCAAAAGAATGGCCATAAAATGGGTTTTTTTTTTTTATACAGTCAGCATTCTAGGATCTATCTGGTTCAATGTTATTCAGATGGATATATCTGGTTCAATTTGCAGCTAAGCACTGCCTTGCCTACTAATGGAATTCAGATTGACTTAGATCATCTCCAGCCGAAATACTAACACTCGTTTGTAGTCCGTCGTTTGCTCCAGCCGATCGCCAAAAAAACATCATTCGTGTGAGGGTGAACATCGCACTGTTCACAAGCTATTTTTTTTAAATCCAAAAATTAGGTTAAATAAAGTATGAGAAAGAATATATATTTTTTTATATTAGATAATTAAGTTCAGTTGGAGACGAGTTACTGCATTTTGAAGTATTACCGTATTTTGGAGCGAAAATTGAGTTTTTCGGTTAAAGATAGCCTTAAAATAAGAGAACGCCAAACCAATAAACTCTTGTTTTATGATAACATATTATTACGTCAAAGAAGACAACTAACCAAACAACCTCCTAATCCTTTGGCATGAATATTTTAGAACTTACAATATCATTGAACTCTTCAATCTTCAATGAGGTGTCTGTTTCTTCTAGCACCAAAAGCAATTCTCTGGAAAAAAAAAAAGAAAGACATCCTTAAATTATCTGTTTAGCATTGCAAGGTGGGAACAACAATGCTTAAAACAAATACAAAGACCAAATAGGGGAATGAGAATAACTGAAAAAATTTGAGAGTAGGCTTTCAGGCCAGTAAGAAACCGAATGTAGGTTGGCTTCTGGTTTCCACTTGTGGGTACTGATCTAACACTTCGCACGAGATATTCAGCAACCTGCAAGAAGTACCAATGCATTTAGAGACAAAAGGAGCTTTGTACTTATAAAAAGAAAGAACCCGCAAATATTAAAGTTGTATATGGGTGGTAGGAATGTAATATTAATATTTTGGGTGTTAGATATGTAAATAGCATGAAATAAAGTGGTATGTACGTAAATTTTAGGGAGATTAACATACATACAATTTTATTTTATGTTATTTACATATCTAACACCCAAAACATTAATATTACATGCCTATCACCCATAGAACAAATTTAGGTGCATCGAATGAAATATTAAAGTTTATAGGATGGTATGAATGGTAGAAATTAAATAGACTACCTATGATCACAATCCAAGAGCCAATTTTATTTTACTACAATGAACAAAAGTGTGGATGAGATAAAGTGAGGTGACATTGTTCGAATTCCCTTGAAAAAAAGAACAAAAACAAACCATAAAAGACGATCCCAGTTAGGGCGACCTACAAAAGCTAGTACGTCTTTTAACCGTACTCAGCAATCAGAGATTTCAATCTCAAATGATCCATTAGAATGTCCATTTCCAATGAGATTTCTAAAAAGTTTTTAAATTTTTAATTGAATCCAAGAATCCAACAACAAAATGTTTTTTTTTTTTTAATCTTAGATTTTGATCTTATCTTTAAAAGGAACACTTGATCAACCATGACAAGCACAGCAACAGAAATTAGTAGATTTTTATGGCTAATAAATAGTTTGAACTTCTTAAATTGCTTTATAATTCAAAAAGAAAGCATAACAGCATATTCATAGCATGGGAAACAATTAATATCATAAATTATAATTACTGCGCAGCAATAACCAAATTTCTGCTGCCTATTCTCGATCTTATTTCAGAAAATACTAAACTGTCGCCCTTCATCAAAATGAGGTGAAATGTAATTTCACGTAACTATGTTTTCAACCCATGCGTTGAGAGGAGCAGTTTTGGACAGTCCAAGGCTTCATTTGGGACGGCTTTATTACTGCTTCTTAAAGCAATTTTTTAGTATAAAAATTTTAATTTTTAAACTAAAAAGCTGTTTTAAGAAGCAATAAAAATACCGTCTCAAACGCAGCCTAAGTCTATTGTAGCATCACAAATTTATTTCTCTCATTCCTGAGTTCATCCATCACTATTCTGTATAAGGTCTAAACTTGTAATATAAAGCTATTCGCAAATATAAATTTAAAAAAAAAAAAAGTTAAGAGCTAGATGATATGCATCTGGATCCTTATTCCAAATTTGGAAGTAATCCTATAAAATTAAGAAGTTGCAACAACAAAAGCAGAAGTATGCTAAATATAGGCGATTTGTACCCAATATAAGCCAAATGCCAGGTTTACAATATAAGCAATGAGGACTGATTAAGAAGATCAGGAGGTTTTTATTACCTTTGCATGTGATAGACTAATTTAGACATCACGATGTTTTAGATAGATCAATTTGTTGCAAAAGGCAATAATGCCAGTACGGCAGTCCCAAGACAAATAAACTTACATGATATTTCTGATGATTTTATTGGTTTTGCAAGCATTATTTAATCCAGTGAAGTTGAAGAGAATCCCAATTGATAAAACTGAGGGAATGGACATGAGAACATCTATTGTAGTTCCTAGGCAATTCTTACCACTTCAGGTGGTTCAGCTAAAATATTGATAAAGAATTTGGCCTGCAAATTGAGAGAAATGTTAGAGTGCCTGAGAATATTTCAAGCTAAGAAAATGAAATATAATTGCAGGGTTAGGCCTCTACTTGCTTTGTTGTGGCACCAGACATGAGCAGATCTGTTGTGACCATACCAGGCTGTAAGAAGTAAATTCACATTATTGTGGTAAGAGCTCATCTTAGCAGTCATTACTTGTAAAGAAATCAAGGAAGAAAAAGTGCATACCGATAGATTATGTACCAAGACATTCTTTACATCTTGCATCTGGAGTTCAGCCTAAAATTCAAATGCTAAAAAGTAATAATATCGGTTTGAAGCTAAAAGATACAAACCATATGGCTTAGCATCTCCATTAAATGAACAAGTGAAAAAAAAAAGTACCGATGCTTCTACATGTAGTAATCAACACCAAGTCTAAAACTTCAAAATCAGAATAATTTATCTAAAATCCATCACAAAGAAAAAATTTTCTTAGCATGGTACCAAATACTTGATTGCGGGGCAATAATGATCAGACCTCAAGTTGATCCATTCCCCACAAACATGATTTGAAGCCATTTGATTTGATCTCAAACCAATAAAAATCTAGTTACAGGTTGGTTGAGTTCAAAATAAGACAAAAATCAATCATATTTCGATCTTATAAGACACATTTTTATTTTAAGATAAAACATACTCTCTTTCTTTGTACACACACAACTTTCATAAATATATATACAAACATTTTTTTTTATTCATCTAGAGCTAGCATGATCCAATCTAGAATCAACTCAATTCAAGTTCAATCCTAGTTAGACTTGGCCTGTTAGACAGTTTGTCAGAATTCAATCCGAGTAGATACTAATAATAATAATAATAATTTGCAGATGATCTTCGTTCTTCGACCTAAATTCACAGCCCTGGATAATAATATATCACTTTTTCCAATAAAAAGGAAAACACTCGATTATCATCTTCATACATAAGACTGCAATTATTTAACCTACTTCCCTCCACAATTTAAGGAACTACTAATTGGTTTTAAAAAATCACAATCATGTATCTTTAAAGATGTTTTGTATGCACTGTGAAGATATACATATTTTATGTAAATATATTCCAAAACCAGTTCTTATTTGGAACTGAAGGATCCTTGTCTGGTTGTCATTATAGAAGGGCATGCTTCTTATGATTGGATTTAGTATGCCCTAAAGGTCTAAAGTACACCGTCACAAATCAATCATGCAAGTAAACTCATGCATATTTCTGAAAGTAAATTGGCATTAGTTGTGGTCATTCCATAGATTAGCAGCCCTGAACTCGGTACTCTTATGGGTTTGAGATTTTTTTCTAATGCCACTCTCTGAGCAAAAAAATCAAGGAAATATATTGCAATGAAACATGCCTACTTGTAAGGATTTTGTCAGATGCACCACACTACGTTTGGTTGCTCCATATGCAGCAAACCTGGCCAAAAAAAAATAATAATCACAATTACAAAGGCCAATGAATCTATTGTTTGGTTTTATTTTGTGTTGTTGAAAAATTCAACCATAGTTTTACAGGAGTCCTTAATGAAGCAAGAGCTCAAGCTTAAGGTCAAATAAGACAATGATTCATTCCCCTAAAATATGCAGAGTGATATTAACCAAAATTACAGAAGCAATCCAAATCCAGCGCATAAATAATGTTTCAGCGTCTAAACAAAAAGTGCTTCAGCGTCTAAACTCTTCCTTTTTCTAAAAAGTGTTTTTCAGCGTCTAAACAAAAAAAGCCAAGGAAATTAAAAATGGTAGTGATTCACTTAGTTATCAGCAAAAGCAGGCTAAATACATTAAAAAGCAACAAATTCAGAATGCTATAAAGGCCTATCGATTGGATAGAGAGGAAAAAAAAAGCATGTATAGCTAAATAAATGTTTGTAGGCAGTCAAGGTAATGAATACTGAAAAGGGGGTTAAACTAATAAAAATATGAATAAGCCAATAGGAGAGGAGGATCTATCTCTCCCAATTCTCAAGATGCTACTAGAGCCCAAGAGCGCCAAGCACCAAAACCAAACTCAACCAATAATCAAATGCCCTAACCTAATCCAAAATTTCTATTTAAAGAAAAACATAAAAATAACCCAAAAGGACTAAACAGCCCCCCCCCCCCCCACCTTTTCCCTAAGGGGCATCTTCTCTCCCCTGAGCAGTGGACCCCACCCCCAAGGGGACGGGATTTGGAGTCTACGGCACATCAGGCATCCGCCTATTGTATTGGATGAGTTGGCTAGACTAGTCCCTACTAGATTGGTCCATGTTGGACCAGTCTAGGTGCATCAATACCTCGCTCCCAAAGACCCACCTTACCTTAAGGTGGAAAGACGGAAATTGATGTTGCACCCTATCGTAAGGCTTCAATGTAGCATCATAATTGGGAAGGTCCTTCCAGTTGATCAACACCACCTTGATCCCTCCCTCTTCCCTGGCACACCCCTTGTAGCTCAAGAGTTTCCAACACCACATTCAAATCTTCAATCAATGTTGCTAGCAACTCTAAACTCGCTGTGTGATCCCTTATAGCTCTCCTCAACTGTGATACATGAAACACTGGATGTATTGTGGTGGTGGGGGGCAACCTCAAACGATACGCCACTGCTCCAATTTTCTCTAATATCTCATAAGGACCAAAATTTCTTGAAGTTAGCTTCTCGTTCCTCCTATTAGCAACCATCATTTGTCTGTAAGGTCGAAACTTCAGGAACACCCTATCCCTTCCTTCAAAAAGGATATCCTTCCTATACACATTGGCTCGTGTCTTCATAATTTGTTGAGGAGCCCTCCTTTTTAACTTTTCCAGCACCCTATCCCTCTCTTCTAGTTATTCTTCTACTTAAGAAATTGGAGTGCTACTCTGCCCAAAATGCACTATGTGAGGTGGATCTCTTTCGTATAATACTTTGAATGGGATCATCTGAGAAGCAGAATGATACGAAGTGTTATACCAACACTCTGCCCATGCTAACCACTTGACCCAAAGCCGAGGTGTTTTCGACACAAAACAACGTAAGTATGTCTCCACGCTCCTGTTTACCACCTCCGTATGCCCATCTATCTGCGAGTGGTAGGCGTTGCTCTTCAATACTTTCCCCTGCAGTCTGAATAACTCTCTCCAAAAATGGCTTAGGAACACCTTATCCCTGTCGAATACTATGACATTTGGTATTCCATGTAGTTTGACCACCTCTCTGATGAAAGCTGATGTCACTGTCACTACCGTATAGGGGTGTCGTAAGGGAATCAAAATGAGCATACTTGCTCAATATGTCTACTACCACTAAAATCACTGTGAACCCCTCATATTGGGTAACTCGTCTATAAAATCCATGAAGACCTCCCACAATCTGGTAGAGAAAGGGGCTGTACTAATCCTTCTCCTAGAGCCATGACCATGTACTTATTCCTCTAACAAACTTCACAACTGGCTACCAACTCCTCCACATCCTTGTGCATCCCATTCCAATACAACTCTGAGGCAAGTAAGTCTTCTGCACCCCTGAATGACCCCAACAGCACTCCCATGAAACTCCTGGAGCAGGTGTGGAATATGGACTTATGTCTTAAGCATCATAAATTTCCTCTGGTACAGAAGCCTCTCCCCTTTGAGAGAATAGCCAGGGTGGCGCCTATTTCTATGCTTTAAAAAATCTGCCTAATTATTCTCAACTCCTCATCCCGTGCACTCTCCTTCTTAATGCCCCCTCCCCCCAATCTAGCATCAGTGGTATCGACACGATCATCTCCTGTAGCTCACCCATACATCTAGACAAGGAGTTCGCTGCTTTGTTCTCTACCCCAGGTCTATATTGGATTTTAAATTCATATCACAATAACTTTGACAGTCATCTCAGGTGCTCCTCTGTCATAGTCGCTGTTCCAACAAGTACTTCAGACTCTGTTGATATGTCTTGACAATGAAGTGTCGACCCAACAAATAAGGCTGCCACTTCTAGATGGCTAGCACAATTGTCATCAACTCTCTCTCATATACTAACTTCAGTCTAGCTCTAGCTGTCAACAACTGGCTAAAGTAACCGATGGGGGCAGTGGGCTCTGCATAAGTATTGTTTCCAATCCATACCCTGAGGCATCTGTCTCTACTACAAAAACCTGAGTGAAATTTGGTAGAGCCAAGACCGGTACGGTGATCATGACCTTCTTCAACCTCTCAAAAGCTTTTGTGGCCGCCTCCCCCCATAAGAAGCTATCTCCCTATAAGAAGCTATCCTTTTTCAATTGTTCTATCAGTCGCCAATCTATGGTGCTATAGCCCCTCACGAACCTCCTGTAATAGTTTGTCAGCCCTAGAAATCGCCTCAACTCCGTGAGATTCTTGGGAAGTGTCCATCTCAATATAGCCTCAATCTTAGCCTGATCAACAACCCCCCTCCTGAGATATTACATGTCGCAAATATTCCATACTGGCCTGTGCAAAGCAACATGTCTTCAAATTGACCCTTTGTTGCTACTCCTGTAGCACCTCTAGAACTATCCTCAAATGCTCTTACTGTTTCTTCTTTGACCTGTTGCACACCAAAATATCATAAAAAAATCAACACAAATCTCCTGAGGTAGGGTCGGAACACCTTTGATGCAAGCAAGAAATTAGGAAGACCCCTAATTTTTGCAAGCAAATTAAAAGATTTCCTAGGATAATAAGAAAATACATAAAATAAGAAAATACAATAATTTTATAACATAAAACAACGCTTACAATCATAAAATAAAAACACCTAAAGTTGCATTCCTTGATTAAGAAAAAAGATACAAGTGGGGTGGACTAATGCGGAGAGAAGAAAAAGGTAAGAAGCCAGACGAAAGAGAGGACAAGCTCGCAAGCTTTCCTAAAAGAAGAGTAGAAGAAGTGGAACAAGCTCACGAGCTTTTCCAAGGAAACCCGTAGGTTTTATCCAAAAATTAGTCACATAACATTATTTTCTTATTTGTCAAAACACCTTATATTTATAGGAGAAAAGGGGGCAGCCATTCAACCTCCAACCTAACCAATCAGATTAGGGGAACTAAAAGGCCAGAAATCATTCTAGAACAGCACCCGAAAGAACCACACATAAAGCCGGGTAAAGCAACCACGGGACAGGCAGCTAGAGAAGAAATTTAAGGGGCGGCACAGGGAATCGAAACCAGCAGCCAGGGGAGCCGGAACCAACCAGGGGAACCAGAACAGGCAACCAGGCAGGGAAAACCAAAGAGACATAGGGAAGGGAAAAGGAACCATGGGGAGGGAATCAAAGGGCCACATAGAAGGGCGGGGGGGAATGAATCATAATTAATTTCAGATTTATGAACTGAATAAGTAGTGGCTAAGCATTTATGAGCTGATTTTTAGTAGAGGAAAAACAAACTCACCAAAATTAAAACCCAAAATATTTTGACCCCCCTTTGCCTACATCAATTCTCCCCTGGTTGAAAGAGCTCATCTCCTGATGATGCTTGAGTATGCTCTGAAGGCATTGCATCTAGCTCTTGAATTTTGGCCGCATACTTTTTCAAGATTTCTTCTCATTCTTATTTGAATTGATCTTGTAGAAGTCGCTTGTTCTTCATGTACTGCTCCATACACAAGTGCATTTTCATCTGTAGTATGTATAATTCGTTTTGTATCGGATCTGTTGAATCTCTTTCTGATGGAATCCATCTATCCATTAGAATTGACACTTCAATATCTTCTGGCTGATTTTCATCCACCACTGGATCTCTGTTTTTATCCTTTTCCATTTTTTAAACACTTAACCTAGGAAGACACAAACCTAGGCTCTGATACCAAATTGATGCAAGCAAGAAATTAGGAAGACCTCTAATTTTTGCAAGAAAATTAAAAGATTTCCTAGGCAAATAAGAAAATACACAAAATAAGAAAATACAATAATTTTATAACATAATACGATGCTTACGACAAGCTCATTTACACTGAGACGAGCTTGAGTTCGAGCTTGCTTTCCAACTAATGAGCCGAGCTCGATAAGGACCTAAACTCGACTCGACTCGACTCGTTTGCACCCCTAGCCCTACTCAGCTCATCCAGTAGCTCATCTATCATTTGGATAGAAAACTTGTCTAGCATAGTTTCCTTATTCACAAACATGTAGTCCACGCAAAACCTCCAACTCCCATCCATTTTTTAACCAGTAGCACTGGACTATAAAAAAGGACTCACACTAAGCCCGATAATCCCTGCCTCTAGCATTTCTCTAAACAATTTCTCAATTTCATCCTTCTGAAGTTGAGGATAGTGGTATGGCCTGACATTGATGGGTGGCACTCCCTTCCTTCAGGGTGATATCGTGTTCCTACTCCCTCAGCGGTGGCAATCCTTGAGGTGGCTAAAAAACCTCACTGAAATGTTGAATCAAGGGGTACACTAAAGAAGGAATGTCCCAACCCTCATATAATCTGAACCCCTCTAGCCTTTATAGCTCTACTAGGAAACCTTCCCCCACCTCATGTATGCTCATCACCATCATCACTCCATAGCTCCCTGTCTCCACCAATATCACCCCCACTTGGTCCACGACTTCGTTGGCGATGAAATTGTAAGTAGTCCCACAATCAATAAACACCACCACCTCCTTGTATGCTATTTTCCTTTCAACTTCATGGTATGACGCAGGGTGAATCATACCACTGAGTTTAAAGAGACATTTTCCATGTCAAGATGCAGCTTGTCCTCCTCATTTACCCCTATCTCACTTCCACCTCCCTCAATTTCCTCGTCATCACAGACAGTGAGAACCTAAAGAGTTTGGTCCCTGCACCTGTGCTCTGGAGTATACTTCTCATCACATCTGAAGCATAATCAATTTGCCCTCTTCTCCTGCATCTCCCTCTCGGTCAACCTTTTGAAGTTCACCTCACTTCCTCCCCCTACGGGCTTCTCCCTTGAGGTCACACGAAGGTTGCCCGGTGTATCCCCTTAGGTGTTAAGAGAGTGGCAGTCATCTTGTAGGAGCCAACTGAATTGTTGCCTCTAGCTCCCCTCTCCTAGTACTTCTGATCCTCCACTAGTTGAGTCAGCTCCATAACCTCTCCTAAGTCACGATGCCTTATGACTCTCACTGCTGCCCGAATCTCTGATTTGAGTCCTTTCATGAAATTCTCCTCCATAACAGTCTCAAACAGCCAATCCAGTCGACTCTCCAGGTACTTAAATCTCTCGCGGTATTCTACTTCTGAGCCTACATGTACTAGGTCAAAGAACTGCTCATAAAAGTTCTCTCCTATGCTGGTTCGAAAAATGTTTCAATAAGAATTCTTTGAACTCCCTCCAACTCCGTATCGGATTCCTCATGTTTATCCACTGGTATCAAGCCAACGCCTTCCCTTCCAAACATAGACCAGCTGCTGTCAATTTCTCATACTCCATCAACCCATTGACGGCGAAGTACCTCTCTACCTTGTAGATCCACCCATGTGCATCCTCCCCTTCAAAAATGGGTATCTTCAGCTTCCGGACCTTCGGATCCCTTCCGTTTCTCCTAATTCCCCCATATTTTCCTTTTCACTAAGTGTCCTTGTCCTTCCTGCCATGTTCATACTCAAACCCTTCTTTGAATTCCCCCATCTTTCCTTCAAAATCAGTACTATGCTAGCCATAATTTTCATTCCTTCTTCTCTAATCAACACGCCTTGGCTCATACCCCCATATCCATACCTCCCACCTCTCTCCTCCTTCTAGAAAGGGCTCCATATAGGGTCTTCTCCCCTCTCACTCTACGGTCTCCACATCATTTTCATCCCTACGAATTTTAAAATTCGTATTTCTCCCTACCGGTCTTCTTTCCTCCAATGCCGCTGTTTAGTGTTGATGATCCCATATTTCTTCACCATCTCCTGAAGATCCAAGAATTTGCCTTCCATGGAGGAAATTCTCTCCTTCACTGTCGCTTTCATTTGGTACATCTCCCCCTCAAGTCGTACTTTCAAGGCATCCACCTTCTTGGCCGCCATCGATACCCGAATTTTTGTTAATCTCAAGAAATCTGGATCTCGACCCCAAAAATAGCAAAAAACACACTTTGGACAAAAATTCTGCAGCAGGAATTCACAAAAAATAGCCCTGAAAACATCTCTGATACTAATTTGATAGGAAACACTTATCGATTTCAAGTGAACCATATCGATCTTGGGAAAACAGCGAAAATTCTCCACAAATCCCCAAGCAAAACCAAGAAAACAGTAGGAAATTCATATTATTTTGATGAAAAGGAACGGAAACACGAAGATAAAATTGATCCTCTATTTGAGAGGAGGATCTATCTCTCCCAATACTCAAGACACCATCAGAGACCAAGAGTGCCAAGCACCAAAACCAAATTCAGCCAATAATCAGATGCCCTAACCCTAATCAAAATTTCCATTTAAAGAAAAACATAAAAATAACCCAAAACGACTAAACAACCCCCCGTTCTCTCTCCCCTAGGCAGTGGGCCCCACTCCCAAGGGGGCGGGATTTGGAGTCTGTGGCACAGCAAGCTTCCGCCTGCTACATTGGATGAGCCCGCCCAAGGGTTGGGCCAGCTGGACCGGTCTAAGCATATCATATACAGTTTTCTATTAAAGTGAAAAAAGTTCTAAACTTCACAAAATTCCTTTATAAATGCTATCATTATGTTTACCTATGTGGCTTTGATAAGAAGTCTCCATGTTCAACTTTGCTCTTTCGAGCTGGCCTACAAACTCTCAAGTCAATTTCTTGCACAGCAACATGCATTTTAGGTTTTCCTCTACTACAGGAATTAAATGACTTTCAATTAATCCATGGCGTTTATTCTATAGTCGTGGAGAATGGATCAGCTTATTAGAAATCCTAAAGACAAAACCTACAAAATTGAACCTATACCTGAAGATACCCAAGATAAGAAAACCAACAAATTGGCATCCGTACCGAAACAATTCTTTATGCAGTGTATTTTACCCATCTCTTCATTTCCACGACTTGCAGCACTCTCCTCTCCTTTGACTAGTGGCTAAAAAACTATCAGAACCTCTTCAATTCTTGCTAGTATCCCCTCTACAGAGAGGCGATCCAAGCAAAACAAGCATCATGAAGGTCCAGAAGAGGATCACAGACACAATAATCCACCCCATCGGAGTTTGAAAATTATCCTTCATCATCAAGTATAGCCCAACCTCAAACCTTTTCTCGTTTTTAATATAAAAAGGGTGCTCGCATAACAAGTGATTCATTAAGTACCCTGAGAGTTGCAACCGAATACATGATCAATTAGCATTCAATCGCAAAACACTCAACGTTATTCGTTCAAGATCTGGCTAAGGATCTGTACTGTTGTGACCAACTAAATGAAAAAAAAATTGCATACCTTGGAGTTGGTCTTCCATCTGACCCAGCTCCATCAATGTTAAATATGTGACCACCACGAGGCTGGCTGAGCATTAAATTTATTGCCTGAAATAATCAGGGAGCTAAGAAGCACATTAGGAAAAATAGGTTACAGATAACAATTTGAACTTTTCAAGATGCTATTACTTGACATATACCTCACGACAGCAAATCATCAAACCAAGGGTGTTTGTTGTGACAACTTCCCTTAAAAAAGATGGACGCACGTTAAATATGTTTGACTAACTCACAACATCATGCAACCAACAAAGAATGGCTGCAGTTTTCTGAAGATGAAGGCTTTATTTGGGACGGCTTTCTTACAGCTTCTTAAAGCAGCTTTCTAGTTCAAATATTAAAATTTTTGAACTAAAAAGCTGTTTTAAGAAGCAGTAAGAAAACAGTCCCAAACGAAGCCAAAAGCTTACATAAGATCTTCGTCAGAAGTTTCTGCCAATGGCTTATAACTGTATGCATTTGATCCAGCATTATTTATCTATACAATGTTCTAACACGTTAGATATATTCAAGAGCATGAACAACATTAATAAGGAAAGATTAGAAAGAATCAGTTGCAAGTCATATTCAACCCATATATCAACATATTTCATCTTTTCACGAGCAAAGGCAACTAATTCTTTGACATCTTTTCCCACTCTAACATCACAAACCGTTCCCTGAATCAGGCAACACAGCTATGATTAGTTAGCATATATAAAGCTATCTCGAACAATTCAATAATATTGACAGAATAGAAATCAAGTGAAAACAGCTATGCAGAAGATACCCACACATGCTGCTCCCCATATTCTTCTTTCAAGTTCTGAACAGCTGACTCTACACGTTCATCTGCAAAAAATGGAAAACTGAGAGTTTTACTGCTTTCCATAGCAACATGAAAGATCATAAAGAGAAGAGAATAAAAAAACTACTTGAAAGACCGGACACTACTAAATCCCTTCTAAAGAGACGAATCGAGAAACTCTATAAAGATTCTCCCTTGGATGATCGATGTTACGTGCTATTAAAGACAGTGAAAAATAACCTTGCTTGATATTTATGCATATAAAGAGGAGAATGCAAGTTCATACCTGATCTTGAACATATCAAGACATTGTCACCCGCTCTTAAAAACTCTTTCGCTAGAGCATATCCAATACCTTTATAAAAAAAGAGCGAAAACAAATTAGTTACTTTCTGAAAGGACAATTAAATTACAAGTCTGAATTGTTAGACCAAAGAGGCTTTAACTGTAAATATACCATGGGGTGATGGGGAAGGAGTTTATATGCTAATACAAGGGCTAACATTGTTAAATAATGCTTTCTACTTTTTGCCTTTTTTTTCCTGTGATATGAACGGGTTTTCTAATGATAGCATTTAGATGTTCAACATTAGCATGGCACTCTTGTTGGTTTGTTAAACTCCCAATGTTGTTCAAATACAACAACAACATCAAGCTTTTATCCCACTTCGTGGGTTGGCAATATAAATCCTTTTTCTCCATTATGTCTTATTTAGAGTCTAATTCTCATTTAAATCTAATAAAAAAAGGTCATTCCTGATATCTTCTAACCAAATTCTTTTTAGCTCTGCCTCTACCTTTTTTAACCTAGGTCAAATCTAATACATCTACTCTGCTAACCGGGCCATCAGAAGGCAAACATTTTTTATATGCCTTGGAGACAAAAATAACAAACACATAATGAAAAAATTGCAGAAATATGAATATAAATGGCTGATTTTTTATTATAACTTCAATAAGAAAAAGATACAAGCGATCTATAATTTGAGAGGTAGACTGGCTCTCCCAAACAACCTAGACGCCGCTAGGAATCTCTTACAAAAAGAAAACAATAGCAACTCTCAAATAAAATTCTGCATAAACAAAATAAACCCTCAACTTAGCCTTCAAATAAGCTTCTCTTATTTCCCTCCTAAATCAGCCCCCCCCCCCCACTCTCCTAATATATTTCCCTCTCTAATTTGAATTTCAATTAGTAAATCCTTCCAAATTAATCCCTTCCAAAATGTTGACCCATACACAAGTGAGCACAAAAACAATTAAAATCGACGTGAAATGTCACTAAAATGCTCAAACCACCTCAGATCGCCAAATGGACCAGCCAAATGCGATCAGAACATCGAATTTACTTAAGAGAGAGCCCCTCACAGCCAAATCGGGCAAAGATGATCGAAACTGACGATGCACGCATGAAATATTGTTCAACACTGCCCAAACGACGTCCAATCGCAAAACACACTTCACCGTTGCGTTCGAAACACTTGAACTATATAGAAACAATTGTAATATCGCCTAGAGGATCTCACATGGGAAAATTGGTGCGAAGTTTGAGGTGACGACATGCAAATCGAGACAAATATATAATAAATAAAAAATTTTAATTTAAAAAAGAAGAAAAAAGGATGCTTATCTGCTGTTCGGAGCCAACATCAACGCCATTCATGTCTTCTCTTATGATTCGCTCGTCTCCATCACACTCCCGTTGTTGTTGATACTCTTGTTGATAAAACAAGAACGAAACAGAGCCGAAGAAGCACATGAACTCTCTCAGCCAAACTCTTGACAAGCCGATCCCGTAGCCTCTGCCTGATCCTAACCTTCCATGCTCGCAAATCGATCTTCCTCCCGCACATAGCCCCTATCTCTAATATCGATCCCACACAAGCCCATCCGAAACTCACAGCTCGACATAATGAGCTACTCTTCTATTAGATATTAATGAGCTTGCACCAACTAAAAATTCAACAACTAAACTCAAAACCAAAATCAGCCAAGGCTCCATAGAATTGTGTTGACCCCCCCTTTGCCTACATCACTTAGTCAATCCCACCATTCGGTCAACCTACTACTTTGATATTCCTCTTAACAAGCCGACCAACCCACACGACTCTTCCTCTGTCCCTCAAGCCATAACTCAGTTGTTTAATCCTGTTGATCCAGTAGCTTGACTTAACGTCGCCAGCCCGATTCATCCTCCTTGCCTCTGATCCGTCTAATCTCCCCAACCCTGAGCAGCTCATGTTTGACTGCCAACCTCACGCAGGCTGCAGATTGGTCGAAGCCCTTTAATCCGCCATCTCCACTACTAGTAAGTAGCTCGTTACTACCTCCCAGACCTGCAACCACCTCAGCCATCCAATCTCCCTCAACCCATCCACTACAGGCCGAACTCCATTCACTACAGCAAACCCAAACAGCTACATCAAGTGAATTAACCTCAATCTTCACCTCTTTTCCATACACACACCTACTCCACAACCCAACCGTCAAAACCACTAGCCCACCACCACACCTCAACTCTTGCCCCACATTTCCAAACTACAACCCTACAAAAAAAACTCTCCCTCACTCTTCTGTTCAACCCAAATAGCCCACTCAGACCTTCTCCACTACTCTATTATTGTTATTATTATTAATAATAAAAAAGGAAGAAAATATTAAAGAAAAGATAAAGACCATGACTGAGGTGTCAGTTGACATCGATCATGCACGTTTTTCTTGGCATGGTGGGCAGGCCTAGACTCCCCAAATTTTTCCTAAATGGGGGACACACCGGGAGGCTGCTAGAATTCAGATTGACAAGGAACAAAATTTGAACAAAAGCACAGGGGACTTGATTACAACAAAATTATAAGGAACCAAACTTAAATACTTAAAATAAAATTGCAATTCACAAAATAATAAATAATCAAATAAAATTGCGTGAGCAAGGACTTGTGGTGGACCAAGAAAACTTCAATACATCTCACCAATAAGCAACAATTAATAAGAACATGTAATCTGATTACAAGCGATGAAGCAAAACCCGTAGCTCATCTATGAATAATAGTAATTGATCTACTATATTCACCTCAATCATGCCTACAAATAAGTAGGGATAATTACAATGAAAGACATTCATGAGAAAAATGTGAAGAATGCTCAATGAATATAACAACACCCCTGTAATCGATGCCAATTTACTCGTAGAAAGTACGGAAATCCTCCATGAACAATGACAGTTAATATGCAATGAATATAATGATTCACCAATGCTCATGTACAAGGAATGTAGCATGTCTACAATCAACGATGATTAACTGGTAGATAAGTGCACTAATCCTCTTGTGAGCAACAACAATGGATAAGTTGTGATTGTGATTGATCACTTACAAGTATAAATAGGATAATTGCCATGCATACGATACCCATTTACAAGTAAATGCAAACATCCATGAGTAACAGTATAAGACTCATCATGTGCATAACAGCCTGCATACAAGTCAAAATAGCAAACTCGTGGTAAATGTGACTTGCCAACAAGTAAAGATCATAAGCTTGTAATGCATATAATAGTCCCACTTACAAGCAACACGGGAAGACTTGCACCTAATACAGCCCGCTCACGGATAATAGTGGAAGATTTGAAATGCATGCAGCAATCCCACTTGCAAGCCACACTAGAAGACCTGTTATACATATGATAGTCTACCTATGAATTAAAGTAGTAGACTTATGATGAATATAGCTTGCTCATGGGTAGAAAGCACAAACTTATGATGCACGGAATAACCTCATCCATAAGCAATGTTGAGAGATTTACACTTAACACAGTTTACTACATACAACAATGTAACAAAATTTACACTGCACGATAGCTCGCCTGTGACAAGCAACAAGTGAGTCGTAACACAACACTATGATTCATCTGCAAGAAGAAGCGGGAAATTTGTAGTGAAAACTACGATTCATCTGCAAGCAAAAGCAGGAGAATTTGTAGTGTAGACAATAGTTCACCTGTAAGTAGAAGCAAGGAACTCGTAGTGCTAAACCACCATATCAAATGAATTGGCCTGCTTACAAGTGATGATGAGGACTCACATAAAAAATTATAGCTCACTTGCAAGCAAAAGCACGCTCCTATAAGTTTGGTTGGAGAAAATGACAACTTGCAGAAGATGAAATGAACTAAATAACGTCGCCGAATACACAACACCCGTACAAGCGGACAAAAGGCGTTTGATAGGCTCTTAAATGGAATCTTGCACATTTTTCAAATGATAATCACCAATGCAATTGATTATAGTTAAATGTTTTGAAGGCCCTCCTCATGCACCATAATATAATTCACTAAATTTAAATGCATTGTCTCAAGGGACATACCACTGCTTTGATAAGTATATAATAGCCTCAAGAAGTGTATAACAGCCCTGAGAGATGTATTGTTGCCTTAAGAAGTGTGCCATTATCTTGGGAAACACATAATATCCCGATAGTGTGTATTGAAATATATACTAATGCATTTAGAATATGCATACACATTATGCAAACACTTTGGAAGGCCTACAAGTATACAATACAAATGCATCATGAGTGCATGTTATCCGAAAATGCATTATGCATTAAGTTACATATAGATATAATACACATATATCTAACATGCAAACACACTGTGAATATATACTCTGCAACATGCAAAATGAATTATGTAAACACACCATCCAACATGCAAAAATGTACTATCATAGTAGCACATTATGCCAACATGCAAATACACTATACGATACATTAAGCATTAAACCACCATGAAACATACAAAAAAACATCACGTAAGCATGAAAAGCAGTGCACAAATGCATATGTTAATAAATATGTATACATGCAAACATACAAATACATTTGCAAGTATAGCAATATGCAAATGAATATGTAAGTTTGTATATGAATACGTAGATATGTCATACACATCCACTGCATTACATATGTATAGCCACCATATAAATACATTATGCGAAATACACTCAAAAGCACGTACCCTCATGGGCCCTGATAAACGTGATGTATTTACATTCATGACATCAGAGGATGTTGCGCAGATCAAAAAATAAATTTAAATTCAAGTCTGATCCTCCTCTTTGAATTGACCAAAGTTGACACAACTTAAACCGTCGAACAAATACACGGTCGTACCGCCAACCGGAGTATTTGATTTTACATGTTCATATTAGGTGATGCAGAACTAAGTATGCTATAGATGAATGTAATAAGAAATTGCACGTTTAAGATAAGAGAAAAATAATTAAAACTATGATCCACTAAACGACAATAGAAAACGAATGAAGGGTAGCTACGCTTAGGCAAAATCACAAGCTATGA